GATGTGGGGAACGCTTATGGACGAGACGTTTATCTAAAATGTTAGTAAAAAGAAAACCGAGGTGATGTTGTCTGACGGGCCTCTCAGGCCTCTCATGGAAGGCATCTTGAAGGGCTGGATTCTGCAGGAGGAGCTGGTTCTCGCTGGGGGAGGCCCTGATGGGCTGGCAGTGGGACGCAGATGCCTGGGGTAGCCAGCACTGACAGATGCCTCACCTTGTCTCGGCTCACCAGACCCAGTTCAAAATGTGGTTCAGGTCCTGGAGAGACAGTACCTGGAAGAGAAGAGGAGCGCTCTTGAGGAACAGCGGCTGATGTACGAGCGGGAGCTGGAGCAGCTCCGCCAGCAGCTCTCCCCTGAGAGGCAGCCCCAGAGCAGCGGCCCTGACCGCCTGGCCTACAGCAGCCAGACAGCCCAGCAGAAGGTGACCCAGTGGGCAGAGGAGAGGTAAGAGCGGCAACCTGGGCGACTTTAGGGGAAGGACTTGTGAGGCATGAGAGGGGGCCAAGCCTTGCAAAGAAGGGAAGGTTTAGTCCCACATCGGGATTGCCAGCAGTTGGCTTTTCCTTTCAAAGATGCTGTCCATTCAAAGTACGTGTACTTTAGGGGTAGTTGTTAAAGCCTGCCTGCCTACCCTTTAACCAGTTGTCATTGAGTCGGCTCCAACTCATGGCAACCCCATGTGTGTCAGAGTAGACCTGTGTTCCATAGGACTCATGGCGACCCCGTGTGTGTCAGAGCAGACCTGTGCTCCGTAGGACTGACGGTTACCCCGTGTATGTCAGAGTAGAATATGCTCCACAGGACTCGTGGTGACCTCGTGTGTCAGAGTTGACCTGTGCTCCATAGGACTCACGGCGACCCCGTGTGTGTCAGAGTAGACCTGTGCTCCATAGGACTCATGGTGACCCCATGTGTGTCAGAGTAGAATATGCTCCACAGGACTCATGGCAACCCCGTGTGTGTCAGAGCAGACCTGTGCTCCACAGGACTCACGGTGACCCCGTGTGTGTCAGAGTGGAATATGCTCCACAGGACTCATGGCAACCCCATGCGTGTCAGAGTAGACCTGTGCTCCACAGGACTCATGGCGACCCCGTGTGTGTCAGAGTAGAATATGCTCCACAGGACTCATGGCGACCCCATGCGTGTCAGAGTAGACCTGTGCTCCACAGGACTCATGGCGACCCCACGTGTGTCAGAGTAGACCTGTGCTCCATAGGACTCATGGAGACCCCATGTGTGTCAGAGCAGACCTGTGCTCCACAGGACTCATGGCGACCCCGTGTGTGTCAGAGCAGACCTGTGCTCCATAGGGTTTTCAGTGGCTGCTTTTTTGGAAGTAGATCATCAGGATTTTCTTCCAAGGCAGCTCTGGGTGGACTCGAATCTCCAACCTTTTGGTTAGCAGCTGAGCGTGTTAACTGTTTGCCCCAGCCAGGACTCCAGGAAAGCAGGGACGGCAGTATCAGTGTGCATACATTTTAGGTCATCTTTAGTAGCATCCTTGTAGTGTGTCCCCTGTGTCATTTCTGAGGTGATGAAAAAGGACTCCAGATGTTGATGTTCAAAGGTAGTCCTTTTCCTATGAAGTAAGGGTCAAAAACCAAAACCAAGCCCATTGCCGTCGAGTCAATTCGGACTCATAGTGACCCTATGGGACAGAGTAGAACTGCCCTGTAGGGTTT